GAGAGAGAGAGAGAGAGAGAGAGACAGAGAGAGACAGAGCGAGACAGAGACAGAGACAGAGAGAAGGAGAGAGAAAGAATATACTGCACATAATTTAAAATATAAGCCTTTAAATTATAAAATCTGTATTTTATAAATTTCAAAATTATAGACTAAAAATTCTTATTAAATTATAAACATCACATATTCAAAATATAAACCAATTTTATAATGTTTCTTTAAATAATAAAGTTAATAAATACATGTTTACAGTATATTGAAATAAGATTTGTGAATAAAAGCATTCAACTTACAGTATAACAGTATCTTCCATTGAGGTAATACAAAAAGGGTTCTTCAGGTAAAAGCTGGATTGCTATATCCAGATGTTCCTGAAGAAACAGGCAAAAGAAAAGTCACTTCCCAAGTTTCAGATGTCGATGAATGGAATCATGCCAAAGCACAGTGATTCCTGATGTGGTTTTACGATGTCTCAGGGACACAGAACTAGCCACATCATTAATATACTTGAATATTATCAATCATTAATTGTCACCCATGTGACTATGATTCAGTAAGTGTACCAGGACCCAAACTGTGACTAGGATTCAATAAGTATATGTATAATTTAAAGCCTAATGCCCTTACAAAGATTGAAAACATCCAAGTGTTTATTCAAGACCTGCCTGGTCAATGCTAAAGAGGTGGTCTCACACAGATCACGAAACTCGGAGGACGGTGAAGCAGAGGGAAAACGGCAGAGCCGGGTGGGGAGGAGCCTGCTCTGGCCCTGCCGGGATGACTGCAGGAAGCTGCAAACAAGGGAGCTGCTTGTCTTCTCCCCGCCGTTACTGACCCTGAAAAGTTATTCATCGGCCTCATCTAATTAGAGGCAAAGAGTAAGTGAGCTTGTGAGCATTACCGATTTTGTTCATCTGTCATGATAAATTTAAGCTTTGGAATAGATCCTACTTCTCCTACCAAGTAAATACACAGAAAATTTTGACTAATCCCAATCATAAATACAATACTAATCTCTTACAAAGAGCCAATCTCTGAAAAAATAATACTCATGTACTATGAGTTCAGGACCTGCAGTAATAATAAATTGCTCCAATTGTTGGAGTCTTTTTGTCATAGTACTATTAGAGCAGCATTTCATTTCTTAACACTTAGATGACAAAAACAAAAATTCTTAGTGCTTACCTTGTTGAACCATCTGTCTTATACCTGATAATGAAATATACAGCTATATTAAAATATTTTTCATTTCAAAAATACCTTGAAGCGATATCCATAGTTGATCTTATTTTGTATGCCCTCAAACTGAGATACATAGCCGCACAAAACTGCATACCTAAAAAGACAAAAATAGTGGATATCGTGTAAACGTCTAATTAAATGTCAGCAAAACATAACATTTTAAGATTATCTAAAGCATTCATTGATATTTTATTAAAGTATTAATGTAGTTGCCAGGCCCTAAAAATAAATATTTGACATTAACATAAGGCCAGTTCCCGCTTCTATAACGGGGGTAGTAGGGCTCTCTATTACAGAGGTACACTGTGAAGGTAAGATCAGCTGAACAATGAGTGTGTGTGTACAGAGCCGGACACAGGAAAGGCTTTCTTGTTGTCTTTTGTGAGATAGGATCTCACCCTGCAGTTCAGACTCCCCTTGGGCTCACTCTGTAGCCCAGGTGGGCCTAAAATGTATGGTAATCCTTCTGCCCAAGTCTTCCAGGTTTTGGGATTACAGGTATGCGCCACCATGCCTGGCAAGGAAGTTTTGATAAATGACAGCAGCCACTACCGTTACCACCATTAACGTTAAAGTTACGAAGAAATTCTCAGAAAAAAATATAACCATAATCAAACCAGAAAACATGTTGTCCACAGATTTATAAACTGAAAAACACTATTAATATTTAAAACTCAACAAATACTAATTCATAATTAAAACTCAAAAAATATACTCTGAGTACTGTACATTTCTTTCAGTGGTCTCTGATTTCACTCTAATATAATGTGAGATTTGTTTGGCAGAATTTACATTTCTCAGAATATATCAAGGTATTTTATTGTTATGAACATAATCTATTTTGAAAAGAAACCCCGGACTTCCGGGAACCCCCAGACCCAGTCCTAGCCCAGGTCCGGTGAGTGTGTGGAGAGCTTCCTGCTACCCTGCGCCGGTGGGACCAGTCCCAGCCCAGGCGCAGCGTGGGCCGAACCCTCTCCCATCCCCTCGGGC